CAGGTATTTCAGCCCCTCAGTATGCAAGCTTCTTAGCCCCACGCTTAGAGTATTGTTTTAAATATACTAACAGTCTTGTGACCTTTTGTTTCTATGTCCCAGTTGCCCTCGTTCAAAACAGGTTTTTTGAGATAGCCCTCACTGAGTGAAGAGATACTATAGGTAGTTTGTTAATTTGCTTAAAGCATTGCAATAACAAGAAGACTCAAGATGTACTGTACCTTAGGTAAGTGTGCCATATACTCAAAATATTTCTTCCTAGTGGTTATGAAGATCTTGTTCCTTAACGGTGCAAGATTCTTTTCTGTTCTTAGTCATTATTCAGTTTTTATTATACCTTTTGGAGGTATTTTTGATATTAGAGCTAAGATCTTTATTTAGGGATACAAGTATAAAGACTACTTAAAAATAATTGAATCTTTTAGAGAGCTGCATCTGTATATTCTCATCTGTGAAATACTGGTTTGACAATGTTTGGGTCTTTGGAAATTCTGAAATAGTAGCACCCGTTGGGACTGTTCAAATTCCTTTTTGATAGTACCAAGTTTTGGAACTAAACTTCTGATAAAACTGCTATCTCTCTTTTATCCACTACTTTCAAAGGAGTCTGGACACACAAGTTTGAGATGGCAGATTGTAGAAGCTGTAATTTTGAATGCTACAATTATGAAATCTCTTTTCTTTTGAAGTGTTTTTGCAGGCTGCCTGTCTAAGTGTAACTTGCAGTTTAGCCTTTATGAGATAGAGCCAAGGAGTTCTGCTTACAGAAGTGTTACAGAAATGTTCTAAGTAAAAAGAAAACAAAAGCAGTGTGATACTAACTTGAAAAAGTAACTGTTGTGCCAAACAGTGTGGTAACCTTCAGGCTTCTGTGATGGAAATCGAAGCAGAAGTAGAGTATCAAAACAAACATTTAAAAATGCATGTACGAGCATGGGTTGCCTCCCTTGATGTAGGGTGGCATAGGTCACTGTCTTTCAGCTTGTTTAAATCTGAAGACCACTCAGTTTTTCCTCAGGCCTGTAGCTCACTATGTAGTTAAGCTTAGCAATGCAAAGCTTGCTTTTCTAAGTACTTTTTGTGATCTTTAAGTGTGGTTCATGCACCACTTTCTGATAACTTCTGGCATTGCATTAAATGGGCTACCCCTACACAAAATTACCTTCTCAGGATGTACTCCATGGTAAGCATCAGATGCTAATGAGGGTGCCGTGTAATTCTGCTCTGTGTTTCTTAGGTAGGATGTGATGTCATGTAGGCAAAGATTCTGTGAACCTTAATGCGTTGCACAGAAATCACATATCTGAAATGTCCAGGGAACAGAGAAACAGGTTGTTTTGGAGCATAAAATAAGCTTAAGGGAAAACATAATGTAATACAAATATAAATAATACTAATACTGTCTTGAGAAGTGAGTGCATATGGAATATCTTGTCCTTACAGCTTTTTATGTAGGAGAATAACCCCAGTAGTGTATTCAACAGTGTCTTTAAGTTTTTTCTACCACAGTTCTCTCAACAAATGGAAGGTTCTGGGAGCTGTGTTTCTTACATGCCTAGTTCTACTAAAATTTTGATAACTTGCTTTTAGAACTGTGTGAATTACCTATTTAGGTGATTGTAACAATTATGTAAGTAAATGTTACATAACTGTTTATGCTTAGATGTATCCAAACTGAGGTGTGGAGAAGAGGTAGAGTACAAAATTTCTAGTTAGAAATCTTTAGTTTTAGGTTCTTATAAAAATGGCCATTTTTTCAGAGGACCAGAGTGCAGTATGCTCCTGCTGATAGCCATTTGATTTGTCGGAGTCTGCAGTGGTAGTGCCTGGTCTGAGGTCTGGCATTGGCCGTTTACACGTGATCTGCTTTTTCTTGTTACTGAGCTAAACCTCCTTATGGCCAGAATTTGCACAGATTGCTCAGACGAACTTGTTCCGCCTCCAAAGGTGAGTTGCCAGTGAGCTTCTGATGAAGGCTCAGCAGAGGCCTTGGCAGCCCTCCTCCCTGCATCTGTGGGGTGAGTTGAGCTTACAAATCAGTAGGCCTGTAGCTCTGCTTTTTCCAGCATAGGAAGGCTGCTCTGAGGGACGGAAGGAAACCTGTTTGAGAGGGCAGATGTTAAGGTTATTGGGTGGCAGCATGTTCTATCAGGCTGTTGTGAGGTAAGTTTATCAAGTTGTTCCCGCAAGGCAAGAGGTACGTATTTGCAGGGAGTATTAATTGTTTTCTGTCAAGGCAGCTTGAAGCTACCTTTACCTCTTCCAGAACACTGGATTCAGGGGAGTTGCATATTTTAGATAAACATGTTCTGAGACTATAAATAATAAGCCATTAGGAATTTGCATGGTCCCTTTCTATATGCATAGTATTTTTGGAAGTGTTAGCCTCTGTGCAGGTCTATATCACTTAAGTTTTTTATAAGTCCTTCTGAAGAGTGGGAGAATACAGTGGAAAGTATTTAAAATTAGTATTGTGTAGTTTTCTGGTTGGTAGTCTAATGCATAGAAACTCTATAAATTGTACTAGACAAACTGTTCAATATGAAAATTTGTTTACCAATCTTGTCTTTTAATTACAAAAGTGGCTCAAATGTACCGCACCTTGTAGCTGAGTGAGAAAGATGTAGTTTCTCACTTCTGAATGTGGGAAATGAAAAGTAGCTAGAGGTAGGAAGAGAGATCAGGGCAAAAAACCAGGAAACTGCAGTAGAGGGGTACAGGAAATGGGTGGGAGTTGAGGAAATGCGTTTTTCCTAAAATGTAAAATTAATGTAAAAATCTAGCAACTAAGCATTGAAACCTATTGAGAAATGTTGTCCCTTAAAATAATAGATTGTTATGGACAGCTACTATTGTTTATTGTTTTCTTCTGTTGGTTTATGTAAAGAATGACTGTGATTCTGTATTTTTCTGTCTCCCTTAAATTTTAAGGTGTTTTTCTTTCCCACTTCCTCTTTCCTGTATGTTTCCTGTAGCTTAAGCGTTCGCAATGAAACTCTGAAAAGTTAGGAAATGTCATATTCTCTCTATATCCTTAAGTCAGCTCTGTTCAGAAGTACTTAAAACTGTGTTGGAACCCCATTAGCCTACTTCAAAAGTGTGATCAGGGTCCCACAAAATATGGCAGCCCTAAAATTATGCTGTGAAGTAATCCATTAACTTTGTTTAGCATTTAATTAAGCAGTTAATTTTGAGATTTAGCTTGTTAAGATATCTGACTATGAGGGATTCTGCAGATATGAGTAAACTGCTTTGGTTCTGCAGTAAAAAAAATAAATTGCTTAGCATAACAGTTGTGAGGGAAAATTCAGATTGTTAACCAATGATATAAATAATACCTCCTTCAGTCCTTAAAGTTTGAAACACTACTGTGTTTATGCCATGAGTATGTGACTCAAATATAGGTAACCCATGTAGTTGTGGTTTACACCTGCTGTTTGAAGTGCAGGCATACTTCTAGATTCCCAAATGTAGTGCAGAGCAAAAACCCCGAAGCAATGCCAGCTGAGCCGATATGAATGGTTTTAACTAAATAATAAAAAGAGCTAGTTTCAGTCCTGAAAGAATCATCACAGTAGTCCTGCTAATAGTTGAGGGAGCAATGCTAATTTTCCTTCATATTATACTGGCACATCTGTACAGTTTGTGGTCCCAGAACCACTTCAGGCATAGCCAGTGTAAGTAATTCTGTAATGAACTAGACCCAGCTCAGGGGTGTGCACAGCTAATGTTTGCTAAGGCTTGAATGCTGCCAATTCAGAACTGGAAGTTTAAGAATCAGCTTTTTGAACCTGTAGTCATGTTATTTACGTGGCACAATATATTATATTAAATACTCAGTGTATTATGAACAGGATCAAAGATTATGAAAACCTTTAGCCTATTAAGTGTTAGTTTTGGGAAGAGGTTAAGAAATTCTGTAAGTTACAATCAGTTGTCACTCATTTAAAAGAGGTTTTAAAAAATTCATGTTCCTATGCATGCATGACGGATTTTTTCATCTTGTTTAATTCATATCATATTGAGTTATTTTATAAGCAGAACTAATTAAGCATTCTTTCTTACGAATTTGCTTCACTAATTTCCTGATTTACTAACAACTTATACTTTCATTCCCTTCCTTCCCCAGATCCCAGTACTGACAACTACTTTCAATATTCACCATCTACGGGTTGATCAATGTGTGGCATATGCTGTGTGGCCAATTCTGACCTAAGTAGGGGCATGTTTCTTAGCCAGTGTAGAAATAACAAGGCCATGTTAACCTGGGTCGCTTTCTTCTTCAAAATTTGATGAAACTTCTTGTAAATCCGTATAGTTAACACATTTGCCTTTTGTCAAATATGATTAAAATTGGTGGTGAGATAGATTTAGTCCAATCACACCTCATTTTCTCTGGAAAGTTATTAAAATCGCTTAGTTTTCAGTTTGGGAAGGGAACTGTCTCCATCACAATGTGAACAGTGTAGTGTGTGGCTATACTGTATTTTTGAGTTTGGGATGCTGCATCAAAGGCTTTATATGTATTGTTCTTCCATCTCATGGCTTTCTACTTCCTCCTTCCTCTTCACAACCAGCAAAGTAGTTGGAACCTATTAAATCTTATGCATGAGTTGACAATCTCACATCATGTCTTTCTATCTGTGTCAAGGAACATGGTGATCAGTATTGAGGAACTTGATTTAAAAGTTCCTAATAAAATAGATAACAGACTTTCAGTGGTAAGGTGTTGAAGAGAGAGAGGATGAGAAGATTAAAAACTGAAGAGAAAGTTTAAAAACCAACACACAAAAAAACCCCCAAACCCTAGAAAAATAAAATTCATATTTATGCAGAGAAAAATTGAGCACACTATGGTTAAAGACAGTATACTCCTATGGTATTCCTTTAGATTGCCAGAAGCATGCCTTTGTATGTTTGTGCTGTGGCCCTTGTTGCAGGGAGATAAGTAAATGGAAGCGCACAACCAAAACATTTACCCAGGATGCTGGATGCAGCAGATGAATATGTAAGAAGCTTTTGGCTCTGGCTGCTGCCGTGGTTGGTTTTAGCAGGTGATGATGACAGGAATAGGTCAGGGGAGAGGGGAATGGAAGCTTCACCACCGAGTTCGTGTGTCTGGTCTCCTCTATATGGAGTTAAACCAAACCCTTGAAATGTGAGCGTGGGATGAGAGGCTGGGCAGTCCTTTCCTCCTACCTGCAGGAGTCTTGGCTTCCTTCTCCCAGCAGCTGCCACCACCAGATTCTCTACATCCTCCTGCCTGTACACAGGAGCTTTTTGAGTTAAGACTCAGTTAAGAGTTATAATGAAGGCAGGGAGTCAAGGACTTTTCTGAATAAGGGGAAGTTTTCTTAACTAAGTGTGGCTACGGTTCCCAGTCTGTTCATCCTGGATGCTTGCAGCTGAGCTAGTGCAGCAAGTGGTCTGACCTCCTGTGAAGTTGAGGGGGATGCTGGTGAAATGTTTCTGGTGGGAGTGGGGAGCACTATGTAGAGAGCTGCAAGTGAGAGAAAGTACTGTGTGCATGTGGCTTCTCTAAAAACCAAAATCCCTTTTTAAAAAATCTCTTCTTGTAGCTGTTATTTAGTAAAGGTCCTGGGAAGGTTCTTGGTCCCAATACAGTAATGCTCTTATAAATCGGTGAGGCAAAGGTGATCAGAAGACTTCTGTCTAGAAATGCCTTATTGATACTTTCTAAATTGTAGTGTTTTGACATTTTAAAGAGAGTATACTTTTACTTCCGCAGATTAAGCTGCCACCAATGATGGAAATCATAACAGCTGAACAGCTGATGGAATACTTAGGTTAGTAATTATGATAAATGGTTTTCAATTATATATTATGCTTATTAGTGAGTAGTAATATAGGACGACTGTTTTATTTATTTACTGTTTTATTCAGCTTTACTTGAACGCATGCTTCAAGGAAACTACTTATGGTATTCAGTTACTCATGCTTTTCCTTAATAGCTTTTCGAAGTTTTCTGTACTGCTTTTGTAAGTGGTTAGTCTAGTGATGCAGTTGGTATGGCTTAGTACACCAACACGTTGGTAGATTTAAACTTATTCATGTCTCCTACGATGTTATTTTGTTATAGTTGACAGAATGTGGTAAGTCAACTGTGCCTTTAATTGTCTGCAGTAACTCTAACCCTTGGTAGTCTGACCCAATTAAAATAACAGGATAAATTAATTTAGTCATCACAGTGATTGGGGTCTTGTTTGCAGGCACTACTTTCTTACCAGATTCAGTATCCAGCAAAACTGCAGGTATTTCCATCTGACAAGTCTGTAACTTCAGTAGCCTGGAATGATCCAGGTGTTAAAAGTGCAGTTCTGATAGTACTTAAGCTTGTATTTACCACAGTTCTTTCCCTTTGTAGCCTAACAAATATAAAATGTTTGAGCTTGACAGACTAGGTTTGATTTTTCTTAAGCAGGAGAAAAAAAATTACTGTGTTTTCTTTCTTTGTTTTTACTTGTAAAGAATGTAGCTTGTTCTTTTCAAAAGCATCACTAAATCTTTCAGTGGAAGAAAAAAGTTAATTATGTAATTTAAAAAAAAAATCTTCAATGTTGCTGCCTGTGTCTAAACATTTCTTCTAATTATATTGATAGAATAACACTGTCTGAAGTCACTGCATGATCCCTGTTGGCTAAATGTGTATATTCTTTCTTGAAAGTGTATATTAGCTTCTGGAATTATCTTATTAAATTGAATAACAAAAGTATCTGCTCAAATAATTTAGGTTCCTGTTCACTCCACAGGATTAGCAGTTGCTAAATGGTGGTTCTACAGTTTAAAAAAAAAAAAAAAAAAGCCCTTCAACCACTTTGAACAATCTTAACTTAAAAGATTATAAATTAGGAAACTTGTTATGATATTTTTCTTGAGTAGAAACATTTTTTAGGAATGGAGCAAGGGAGTAAATGTGGAAAGCATTGAAATAAAATCTGAAAAATTTGTGCAGTTTATGGATACTAGTCATTAAAAACGTTAGAAATCTTGAACCTCAGTGTATTGATTAACTGCTTAATTACCTTTGTGTTGTAAACACAGATGGAATATAAGTCTTTCAGAATTACTGGTGTATGGAAACATATGCCAGAATATTCATGGTATCAGTCAGGATAACTGTCTTTTTGAATTGTGTTATGCAATTACATATCTTACTGTGAACAGTTTGATCTTTTTATATTTTTAAGTTCAGGCCCAGAGGGAGGTAAATATCTGAATAATTAAGAGATTAGTATAATACTCCAGGAGATTATGAAATGCTACTTTATTAACATTGTTGTCCATTTGAATTTTATTTCTTAATATTATCTTACTATGGTTTTATACTCATGTTTTACTTCATAGTTATAATTCAGGTTATAAATCAATGCGATCTCATTAATTTGATGGAAAACTTCAATGGTGGTATTTATGATCACTCAGCTTTAGTTAGAATTATTCATAGAAATGTTGACGTTTTGAGTGTGGAATAAACTCAATTTTATTTTTGCTCTTTTTAGGAGACTATATTCTTGATGCAAAACCTAAAGAGATATCTGAAATTCAGCGTCTAAATTATGAGCAGGTAAGGAGCTGCTCCTAAAATACAATTGCTTATATCTGAAGGACCTAGAAATTTTTTCTTACCTAAGGTTTATCATCTTGTTAAAAACCAGAAGCATGCAAACCATTGGTTGTAGTTACTTTTTGCTTTTTTCCCTAGGCTTGATATAGAGTATTACTTATAAATACTTCCTATTAGTGAAGAAAAACTCAGTATCTATTAACACAAGAAATTATTAATTTTTTTTGCCTACGATGAGTGTAATGAAATAATTTTGGTTGTATTGAGGAATTATAACACGGAAGTACAGATGGAAGTATATAACAGAGTGGTTGCTTTTTGAATTCTTCTATTATGCATCGTTCAGTGTGCTCTGTTCTGTGATGCCTGCAAGACTTTCTCTGAGGATGTAAACTGAGCAAGAAAGAGATCTATGTTCTTAAGTCGTGATGGACAAAGAGACTGATTCCATATTATGAAAGGCAATATTATTTGCACTGACCACTATTTCTGTCACCACAGAAATCTTTATATGTTAAAGATAATGCTATTAGTTTTAAAAAAATATTGATGTAGTATATATTATCTTGGAGCAAATTTTTCAAGCTCTTTCTGTGGTCACAGCTGGTTTTTTGATTACTCATGGAAAAGTGATTTGGATTTCTTATAGGTGTTAGCTTTCAAGCTAGTTCTATTTATTATTAGGTCTTCTTTTCAACACTCTCATTCAGTGTTGAAAACCAAGTCGAGTATCTTGGGATAGTAGAAATTAGAATGAAGATTGTGTGTCGATTCTTTTAATAATAATCCAAAATATTACTTGTATCAAATTAATATAATTATTTTGCAATAACAAAATTAGCTATACTTTTTTTCCACATAATTCTGTGCTGTAGAAGATGATAGCTATAATCAGCCTACAGGAGGGTGATGAAAACTGTATACCTGGTTAAAGTCTTGTGCTCGAATATATGGGTTTACTACATAAATGTCACAAACATTTTCCTGAAATATTTAAACCATACAATTTAAAAGAAACCTTCTATTCTAGGAATGTTCTAAATGTACTTGTAGATGCGTAAGTGATATCACCTGAGAGGGAAAAAGAAACTGATTAGGCAACTGAGTCTTACAAAATTATTACATTTCAGAAGCATTGGAACTAAGTCTTGGTGTTAATCATAATTTTGTGTTTATCTTGTCACGCAGTTAATGTTCTTTGCCTAAAACAATGCATTTTCTTCTTATACAAGAAATTCAAATAAATTTTTTGGACAGCTGGATTTGTAATGCTTGATTTTAGTATTAACATCATGACAAGGTATTCATTTCAGCTGTGACTTTCTTTTTTACCATACTTGAGGGATTTAATTAAGTATTTGAATGAAAGTTGGATTTTTTAAAAAAAAGCACAAGTTCTAATGTACAAACTTAAGAACAGGTTGCCCAGGGAGGTTGTGGAGTTTCCATCCTTGGAGATATTCAAAAGCTGTCTGGACGTGGTCATGGGCAACTGGCTCTAGGTGGCCCTGCTTGAGAAGGGGAGGGACCAGATGGCTTCCAGAGGTCCCTTCCAAGCTTAACTGTTTTGTGTATTTGTATGCTCGCTTATTTGCATTGATTTTTTTTTTTAGAAGCTTGTCACTTTGAAAGTGCAGAAATAGTTAAAATAGAAATGATACTGTTCAAATTGTAGTGAGAAACTTCTGCAGTTTTCTGGACAGTTTGATGTATTCATGCTCTGTTTACAAGGGAAACATTACAAAATAAATGCAAGTAATGTCTGTAGATGTATGATCTGAATTTGTGGATGGCTGAATTGCTATAGACTTTCTTCCTATTCATTTAGCAGAGTAAGAGTATAGCATTATTTTCTTCCAAAACACCTCTGATATGTGTTTATACTTGATATCTGGTCCCTAGTAATAAAATGGACTTAAGTAAGGTGGTTTGGTTTGCTATTATAATGATAAAAATTTTTTTAAAAAATTTTTAAAGTCTGAGCCAGATCTTGAGAATTACTTACAAATCTTGCTAAATTCTAGATCTTGTGACATAGCAAGATCATCAAAAGGAGGAAGCAACATGTAATAAAGTAGTGGGAACTGTTACCTTCCTGGTAATAGAAACTTTATACAACAGTGCAGTTAAAGGGCTACAAGCAGTAAAACTCTTATTCATAGCAACCACTCTCAAGTGCAGATACAGGATAATGATTGTTACAGTGTTTTGTAGCTATGCTTTATCAAGCTTCAAGTCTTCTGAGGGCTTTCCAGGTTTACATGTGGTTAGTAACAAGTTTATAAATATACTTTAGGAGTTTTCAGAAATTGCATCTAAACTGAAGTTACTCAAAGTAGGAACAAGTTTATTGTTCTACTGTCGTTTTATTAAGAAAAAAAGTACATTTAAACTTTCATGCCAGGATGAGGAGTAGCTTAATTCCTTTGGCTAAAATGCTGAGGTTGGTGAACACAAAATTTTTGCAGTGTGCCTTAACGAAACCGTGCTGTTGCCCGTGTAAAGTGTTGTGCAGAGATCTATAGGCGAGACTATTTTACATATGTGTCTGCTTACACAATTTTTACATAGAAGTTTTGGTTTAGAATTCTGTTGCATGCTGAGAGATGTCTAAAAGGTCATCCAAGATCTGGGTAACGTTCATCTTTCCAATAGATGCAAAACTGTGCTTAGAATTGGATCATGAAATATTGAATGATGTAACTACTTCACTTAGCAAGTTTACTTAGTGAGTGTTGTATATTTAAATCAGTACACTCTTTACAATACCAAGTCATAAGATGCACAGACTGGTTTTTTAGTCTGACTTCTTAAAAATACTGAGGTCTGCCTTATGTTCTAATATACAGGCTCACTTTTGCATTCTGCTCTATCTGTTAATGTGTGCACTCGTGCTGCAGAAGTGAATGTTCAAGTTAATGTATTGGTTATGTTATTGTTTAATGGATCCAGTTATTTGTAATTTTCCTGTATTTCATCAAGTTACTTTTAATTTGATAAAATAACTCATCACTATAAACCCTACTTATGCCTTGTTAACCTACCTAGCTCTTTAATAGTTTTCTCATTATTCATCCTTTATAGTCAGTCATCCTTACTCTCTGTTTTTTGTCTTCCCTTATTGATTCCCTTAATTGTGGTTCTTGCTATTAACTGGCTTATCGTTAGAAGAAGACAACACAGAGGCAACTGTCTCTAACAATCAGTCTGTGAATCTTTTCTGTCTCCATCTCCTTTCCAATGTGTATTTCTGGTTTTTGTCATGCTTTTTTCCCCCATTGTTGCAATCCTGAATTCCTCTTAAGCAACGGAATATTGCAAAACTAAGCCAAAAAAACCCAAAGCAAACAAAACAAAACCAAAACCATCCAAACACACACACACACAAAAAAACCCAACAAACAAAAAAAGCGCCTCAGTTTCCCTGAATCTTTTGCAAACACTGCAAATACTTTCTGATGATACTCTTTGTGGACTCCTCTCACTTGCTGGAAAATTCTTTTTCCTGCATGTCAGGAAAATTACTTGTCTGTTGGTTCAAGATAACTGTCTTACAGAGTACTTTTTCTTTGGTTCATCTTTGCTTTGTGTGATTGAGTCTTCATAACTTGATAATTCCACTTACTATAGTAAGTGCTACTTTCATGACTTATTCCCACAGTAGAATCTGCAGGCCATTTAAAGGTATGCCCAAAATAAGATAGCAAAACTTTTTTTGTGAGATGAAAATGATTAAATTTTTCACTGTTGTTCACCACATTAAGTACTGAACCCCCAAATTAAGAGTTGGCAAGTAGATCTGTGTAGATCTGTTTGTTTTGTTCATTCACTATGTGGTGGCAAGTACTTCAGCCTGACTCGTAAGGCAGGACTTAAAGGGTGAGAAGAAACCTCAAGGGAGTCCCTTAGAGATTCCCTTATAATCCAAATCTTCTTGCAAACATCTGGCTTGTGGCTATGGGAAATAGAGCTAAAAGAAATAGGAGCTGCCTAAAAGCAGCTTATGAGTGTAGAAAAGGACACAGTCAAATATAGCTGATTGGAGGGAGAGTTCTTATTTTGCAGATCTCTTTTGAGACAATGAGAATGAATAATGTGAATATGCACTTGAAACAGTTGTTTAGCTAATTTCCCCTTTTGTAATTTTTTTTTTTCAAAATGTTGAATTGATGAGTACTAAATGAGGAAGGGTTACAAGAGTAAACATGAAGTGCACAAAGTTCTATTTGGTCATCTGTGTTTGGTGGTTGTTTTTTTTTTTTTTTTTCTTTCTGCTGTCAGAATATGAGTGATGCAATGGCGATTCTACATAAGTTACAGACGGGTCTGGATGTCAATGTGAAGTTTACAGGTGTACGAGTATTTGAATACACACCTGAATGCATAGTGTTTGATCTTCTTGATATCCCCTTGTACCATGGATGGTTAGTGGACCCTCAGGTAACTTATTTTTTTTCAATAATTCAAACAGAATATAAGTTATTCTGAATTTTATTGGGGGGAGGGGAGATGTTTCAGAATTTTAACTGGAGTCAATAATAATGATTATGGTAGTGGATTTTTTTAAATCTACTCAGAAAAACTGGATTTTCTTAGGGAGGAGTGAATACAGACTGTACGTGTGTTTTAGTGTGGTAACTTTGCATATACTAGGTCTATAGTCAAACTAACTTTCAAAACCTTTTATGCTGAACTAATGACTGTGTAAATGAGAATTGTTGCTCTAAGGGAGGTAGGAAGTTGCCAGATATCGGGTCCCAGTCATTGTTTTTGAAAGCTCGTTAGAGAACACTTGGAAGGGAATGCAAGGTTACTTTCTTCTTTCATCCTATCTTTAATTCTGATTTACTAGTTATTGCTTTTGAGAACTGAGGATGTTGGAACCAATTAGAGAGAACTGCATCTTTAACAACCATATAATTTATTTTTAATGATATTATTTAATAAACAGTAAAATGGTACTGTTTACTTAGGGGGAAACTGTTGAGTTTGACTAGAATATCTGCCTCAGGTTTCTTTTCCTTTTCATGCCTTGTTCATGAGTGTTGCTATTCTCTTATCCCCTTGGACTTCCCATGTATGCCAACTGATGCGCATTCTCTTCTCCATCTGCTTTAACAACAGCTTTTGCTGTTAAGTGTTAACTTAAGGATTTAAAAGGGGATCTGAGACAGAAAAATATGTAACAGTCCAGGCTAAAACTTTTTGGCCTAGCATTTTTACAGGGATACTGTCTTCATTGAAACTCTTCTTATTTTCTTATGAATAATTGCGATAGGCTTACAGTTATGTTCCGTTCTTCACAAAGGTAAGTTCTCTGTTTTGTATGCTGTTCCTTCCTGCTCCAGGTTGCTGACATAGTAAAAGCAGTTGGTAACTGCAGTTACAATCAGCTAGTGGAGAAGATAATTTCTTGTAAACAGTCAGACAACAGTGAACTGGTTAGTGAAGGTGGGTGCCTTTTTTTTCTCTGCTTTATCAAAGTATCTATGCTATCAAATCTTAGTTACATATTTTGTATATGGGTCTTGGGACATAGAGGTACAAGTGTGAAGAGCTGCATTCTGTCTGCTGAACTACTTTCCCTGTGGAGGCAGACAGCACTCTGTTTGTCTTCTAAACCTCTCTGATGCAATTTCCAAACCAAGGATCAGCCTCATTCTCTTGATCTATTAAATATTCTTTTTTAAAAGCTGAAAAAAACTTCTTTTTATGAAAAGGTATTATGGGCGGCATTTAGTTTTCAACTTAGCTATATATTATCTCCTATAATTAGAATATTAATTATATACTACATCATGACAAGATAAAAATCAGTAATATTAGAAGTGGATATAGCATTTCTGAACATGAAGGTTATCTACAATGCTGAGGTTTTAGAACTTTCACCTGATTTTCCCCTCTCTGAATGTGTTCCCTTAGATTTGTGGCAATACGTTTGTGCCCCAATTTGTGGGGCATCTTGGTAAGGAAGAGGTAGGAAAAATATTACCATTGTAAACAGGTTTTATATGTTAGGAAGTATGTAATAGACACATGTAACAGTATATATTGCTTTTGTAGGATTTGTAGCTGAGCAATTTCTAAATAACACAGCTACGCAGTTGACATACCATGGACTGTGTGAGTTGACTTCAGCTGTCCAGGAGGGAGAGCTTTGTGTGTTCTTCAGGAACAACCATTTTAGCACCATGACCAAATACAAGGTATATTCAACATTTTTGTCTTTACTGTTGTGGTTTGCATTCTCATTTCAAAGCAAATCTTGTTTTTCTCCTGTCTTGAAATAGAAATAATTTCCAGTTTGTTGTTATATGTAAGTATGGCTTGTGGTGAATGTAGCAAAGGTTACTTGTGAAATATTGATTACAGTGTTTTAGATATCAGAATCCATTATCACTTTAAATCTTCTTGTAGCTCTTCCCTTTATGTTCAGTTTGTTCCCTATGTTAACTCCCTTTGTGGTTATGTATAATGACGTATGTTTCTTACATGGCTTAAATTTACTTGCAGTTTCTGATTGGCAATAATAAAGTTAATGAACATATTTAATTTTGTGTTTCTGAGGATATAAAACTTTGCTTTACATTTGGGCTAGTAGATGAGTAGCTCCATCATGGTGTTCAAAATACGGAACATTTGGAGAAGTTGAGATAAGCTACAGTATTGATTCCCTTTGTTAGGGAAGAGATTATTTTTTTGAATCTGAAACTGGGGATGCAGAATGGTTAGAATTCCGAAAGGAGTATTCCAGGATATGAAAAGCAAGTGACAACTTGGTTAATGCTTCTGGGACTCCTTCCTACATGGAATGGAGAATCTGGCTTGTCAAGTTTACAATCATTTATGGAGCATCTTCGTTCTAACAAAACTTTGTATTTACAAAGATGATAGGGTATTTTTATATATCTGATTTGGGTAGAAAGGGACAGGGTCAAATTGTCTCTGAAGATTTAATCATTCCCATCTCTTCAGTGATAAATGTGACTGTTTTGAAGTAAACTTTCATTGACTTGCAATGTCAAATCATCCTTAGAGTTAGACATTTCTTTCAAAGATCAGTATGAAATTTTACCTTTGTATAGAACTCTTGAAATAATATTTTGGTTATCTGTTATTTAATAAGATTATAATTTCATGTACATTTGCATTTATGAATAAATGCAAGAAAGGAGTGTGTAACACAAAAAACCACTGTTTTCACCATCTGTTACATAGTAATGTGATATACCTCATGTAAATGACACTAACTTTTCCACTTGGCAGTACTAGTCCTTTTTTCTCCCTCTGTTAATCTTGATTGTCAATGCTTATCTTTGGCATTTTGAGTAACTACTTGTAAGCTGAGCAAAAGCTCTGAATAGTCCTGATAAATAATGATTGACTCTACAAACAAGTAACATATTTGATTTTCTAATAGCTTCTTAGAGCATATCCAAGATTTGTTTTAAATCTATGTACAATGTATTTTCTTAAAGGAGTAGGACAGGTAAAAGGATCTTTCTCCTCCCTTCCTCTTTTTTAAAAAAAAAAAGCTATGGAATATATCTGTTTATAGTCAAAACCTATAACTTTTATATTTCCTTTTGGAGCTCATTTAGGTCTATTTTAAGAGGTATGGTTTTGCTTCTCTCCATTTTTCTAAATTTAGATCTTGCAATAGTTGGTAGTAGTTTGTCATGTAAGCCTGTACATTGTTTTATGGTTGCTTTCATTATGGGGGAGGGAACCCCCAACCTCACAACAATTTGGTTTTAAAAAGAGAATACTAAGTAGAAGTACAGATGTACTTTCTGGGTACAAATGGTACCTAGAGATGCAGGAAATCTTTTTTTATTTAGTTTAAAGGATATTCCAGATAAAATACTTGCATCCTCCTGGAAAACATTCGTTTTTGTGCTATTATTAAAACTTTTAATACAAAAAATATTTTGTATTTTAAATACAGTAAATAAGTATCACTTTGACCTTGTGAATTATAAATACAGAATTTAGTCTGTAGAATGTAGACTTTGTCATCTTCTGCAGCTCAGTATTTAGATTAAAGGCTAAAACCTGGTGTGTGTTTGTCAGTGCTTTATCAACTTCATACTTGTAAACATATACTTCAGTTGAGATCCTTTTTCCTTTAAGAAATAAAATGCAACACTTCAATGAGTTAAGTATCCTTAACCAATATTAATAATAGAGAACAGGTTAAGACAGTGAGTAAAAAAATCTGTGTCTGAATTTTAACTGTAAGAACTAAATCTAAGTCCTAAGAAACACTGAGTTAAAATATTTTAAGAATAGTATTAGTTGTGTAATTAAGCTTTACTGCTTCTAAGTCACTGTGGTATTAATTTTGTCCCTCTTGAGAAATCTTAGACTTCTGTAATGCGAAGTTTTGGAATATGGGCCATTATTCTTGTGTTTCATAGTCATTACTCTGACCTCGCTTGCAACTTGTGTTCAATGTCCATGTTATCTACAGGCTTTTAGTTCCTGAGGTTGTCACTTTTAAACAACGTTGTTCATTTTGCCTTGAATTTCTGGTCAGTGATACATTACAGAGTTTGAGGTATCAAGAAACTCTTTTATTAAAAGACAGAAATTCTTTATTAATTTATTTTTAAAAGTCAGCAGTACTCTTTCTGTCTGTTTCTATCCTACCTAGCTATTTGCAATAACTGTATAACTAGGTATTTCATATCAAGGAAATCAGAAATAGACTTGACTTGGGCTTTTAGCTATCCAAAAATCTTTGGACCTCCAGGATACTCATATGAGTGCCAAATGCATTGTTGTTACCAAGTTGAGGTTTTCCAACTGCTTTACTCTTTCCTTTTACTAGATTTAATGCTCGCTCTGCAGATTTTTAATGGAGTTTCTTTCACTTCACAGTTCGAGTGGTAATCAGCAGTAGCTGGTCTATGGAGAAAAGTCCATCAGTTAGGAAAACTGAAGACAACATATGCCTGAGAAAATAAAGGTGTAGAAATTTTAGGGCAAGAACTATACAAGTTATTTGTATTTCTCTAGTATTGCCTTTCCCTCTTCCCTCTCCAAACCAATATATGGAAACATACAAACAAAGCAATTATGAAGTTAAAAAAAAGGGAATTATACGTATAATAAGTTATGTATGTGTAATGAAAATTGTCTATTTTTTAGAAACATTTACGCTTTGAATAAATAGCATGAATTTATAATGAAAAATCCCTTAGATATATGAGGCTGTTAAGTATTATTCTAATGAAGCCAATACTTAAACTTTTATTTGGAAGCTTTAATGTACAGCTGATACAGTGACCTGTATGCTGGGGATATTTCTTAAGTTCAGTGGGGTTTTTTGAAGCCAATATATTAGTGAAAGGACTTGGGTGGCAGTATGTATGTGGGTGGCAGTATGTATGTGGGTGGCAGTGAAAGTAGAGTGTAGGTTGATCTTAACTGCACTTAGTGGAGGAAAGAAAAAAAAACCCGGATCGCTAAGCTTTTTCAAAGGGAATGCAGAAACCTGTTCCAAGTTCTCTTATATGCTTATTTTTTCTAGACTCTGCTTTAGAAATGAGGAGCAAGTGTGAGTAATTTAAGGAAAAGAAATACGTGGTGACTTCAAAATAATTCAAAGAACAAAATTAATAGCAGATTGAACAGATTTATTTTTTAAAGTTGCATTAGAGTTCTTTCTACATCCCATCTGGTGAGGTTGTTTTAGAGATAATAGATATTTTCTGGTTTTAAATATATTATATATGTATTCACCTGTCATTCCTTAATAACAGATAATCTTATGGATATTTTAGAGCAGAAATGGGAGAGGTGGAGACTGGTGACATCCTTTGTGCATATAATTTGAACTTTCTGGTTTTTAAGTCTTTATTACAAAGAGTTTCCAGTATTTGTTATTTGACACATAGTATCAATTTAAAAATAGAAGATTTACTAACACTGACAACACTTTACCCAATTACAGAGAGTTTAGAGTGGCTTTTCACTGTCAGATCAAAGGATCTTTACCTTGCTTTTGGATTGCTTATTTTAGAGAGCTGTTTTGCTGAAATTAAGAGTTATGTGAAAGTGCAACTAAACAGCACAGTATTCTGAATTCCTGTGTCTTGTCTTTGAAAATTTTTTCATAGGCTGATGTCACAAGGTGTTGCATAGTGGCAAGAACTCCTTGGAAACATTGGGCATACTAGTGCCCAGCTAGTATGATTGTTAGGCTGGTTAATCTACTCATATTTCCTTTGTGTGCAGTGTCTCTATTGACTCCAAGATATTTTTATTTTTTGCATGAATAGTAAAGGAATTTGTAAGGAAGAGAACTGGAGTGACTCCTCACAAATATGGCTTGCTTTTTAATATTATTTTTTAATTGTTACTAAATTAACAATAATAAAATAGGCATTTTTTTTTTACTCTTAAGTGCTCCTTGCAAGATCAGAAATAGAATGGTTATGAATGTACAGCAACATTATTAATACCTGTTGTAGCCTAGGGGAGGTATCAGTGCTGTTATATACTGTAGGCAAAAGCTTATTAATAGTCTCTGGTAGCAGATACTTAAAAGGCATTTCTATAGTAGTTATGGGCATGAAGATATTTGAGTTGGACAAAGTCCCAACCAGCATGGGTTCATGAGGGGAAAGTCCTGTTTAACAAACTTAATCTCTTTATACAACACAGTTACCCACCTAACTGACCAAGGGAAGCCAGTTGATGTAATTTATTTTTTTTTAGATTTCAGTAAAGCTTTCAATACTATGTCTCACTGTATCCTCCTGGACAAAATGTCCAACATACAGCTGGATAAACACGTAATGCAATGGGTGAGCAATTGACTGACAGGTTGGGCTCAAGGGGTTATAGTAAATGAGGTCACATTGGGCTGGCGACCAGTCACCAGTGGGGTTCCACAGGGGTCCATCTTAGGGCCAGTGCTCTTTAATGTTTTCATAAATGACTTGGATGTAGGACTTGAAAGCACATTAAGTAAGCTTGCTGATAATACAAAGTTGGGAGGAACTGTTGACACCCTCAAAGGCAAGAGGCCCTGCAGAGAGATCTAGACGAATTCGAGAGCTGAGCAATCACCAGCCGTATGAAATTTAACAAGGGCAATTGCTGGATTCTCCACCTGGGATGTGGCAACCCTGGATACACATACAAACTGAGGAATGAGAGGCTGGAGAGGGACCTGGAAGTTCTGGTCGGCGGCAAG